GCAGGCGCCAGGGCCTGAGTTCGGTTCCTGATCATTCCACTGCCCCCCAAAAGCCGGGGAGATTCAGCAGACTTGGAAAGCATGAAATGGGGGCTCTGGAACCATGAGGTGCAGGGCGTGGGGTGCAGGGCGGCTGGTGCGGGGCGTGGGGTGCAGGGCGGCTGGTGCGGGGCGGCTGGTGCGGGGCGGCTGGCCATGGCGGACAGCGTGGGGAAGGTGCCCACAGCCGATGTGGGAAGCAGGGAGACACGCGGCGGGGACAGCGAGGCTGTGAGGTCCTGACGCTCCGAGCAAAGAGGCGCTGAAGCCCTCCAACCCGCCGCCCCCATGTCCTCCCGCCGCAGCCAGCAGCCCTCCTGCGCGGGTGACTTCGAGCTCGGTGGCTCCTGCTGCCCACGCTCCTGCGCCTCTCATGCCCCTGCGCTGCCGCGGCGGGCCCTGCTACGTGGCCAGGTTGGCGCAGCCCGCTGGAGACCCTCCTGCCTCAGCCTCCCGGCGGGGCTGACCGAGGCGGGGCGCGGCCTGGTGGCACCTGCCCTGGGGGGAGGCTGCACGGGGACGCGGCTGGAGCTGGCTGGCGCTTCCGGAGGGTCCCGGGGCGCTGCAGGTGGGATTTCGCAAGGCACCGGGCGGCCACGCTGAAGAGGGCCGGGCAGACCGTCGCGGCTCTTTCTTGACTTCAAAAGACAAAACAAAACAAAACAGGAATTGGTGGCCGACCGAGCAACTCCGCGCTCAGCAGGGACACAACCGCCAGGGTGGGGAGGAGCAGCAGGAGGAGGAGCCGCCGGGCGTGGCGGCTGACAGCGACCGCGACAGCCCCGCGCTGCGAGGAGGGCAGACGTTACACAGGAAATTTCAAAACCGGTTTTGGCTGCCGCTGTCGCTGCAGGCCCAGCTCGAGCTGAGCACCTGCAGACAGGCGGCGGGCGCGGCCAGCGGGCACCCGGCCGGGAGGGCTGCGGGGCGCCGGGCAGCCGCCGGGACTCTTGCGACCGCAGCTTCCACGCGTGCCAGGTAAGGCGCGGCCCGCTCATCATCTGCCTTGCTGCTGGGCAAGAGGGGCTCGGGTGCGCAGGCGACACAGGCCCGGACTCCTAGGCTAACAGCAAAACCCCAGCAGATTGTCCAGTGCGGGTCAGCGGGTGGGAGGGAAGTCGCGTGGCACGGGACAGACAGGAAGGACGGAGGGGCGTCGTGGCCACGCTCCCCGCAGCCGGCACCGTCCTCAGGGCTGAGGCTGTGCTGCGGCCTCTGGAAGCCCGCCGGCCTGGCTCCGTGGGGCGCGCCCACCCAGCCCGGGCTGCCGAGAGGAGCCGCAGGTCGCGGGCCGCGCGGGCTTCGCAGCTTTTGCTTTTGTCCTGCGGTCACCGGGTTTATTGCACACTGCGGAGGACAGGGCCTGGGCGCGGGAGAGCGGAGGAGGGGAGCCGCCATCCCGCACTCGGGAGGCTGAGGCAGGAGGGTCGCCGCGGCGCGTTCGAGAGCAGCCTGCGATGCGCAGAAAGACCCGGATTGCCGCAAAACAAACCGACGCGCTGGGCGCCGGCGACAACGGGCCTCCCGCGGCCAGCCTCAGGGGAGCAGCCCCAGCGCCCCGCTTCTGCCCCGCGGTCCCCAGGGGAGCCGCTCTGCCTGGCAGTCAGGCATTGGGGGTCACGCCCGCCTGCACCTGGGCCCCGGGGCGTGGGGGACCCCGGGGGAGCTGCGACCCGGCCGGGGAGCCCGAGCCCAGCGCGCGGGAGGCCGAGGCAGGAGGGTCGCCGCGGCGCGCTGGAGGCAGCCTGGGCTGCCCGCGACTTCAGGGCAGAGGCAGCTGCGTGCGGAGACGCTGTCGCCAAGAGAAGGAAGGAGAACGTCGCCGGCAGTGCAACTGGCTCCCACCGCAGGCCCGTGCGGGCGGCCGCCGCCACCAGGGCACCCCTCGGGCTCCAGGGCGCCCCTGCTTGGCAGGCTGGGGGCTGCCGGGCCTGCTCCCAGGGGTGTGCCCGTCAGACAGCTGCCCGCACCCGGCCAGGCTCGGGCCAGCGCCCCTAGCGGCAGGGACGATCGGGTGCCAGTGTGGCCCGCGCAGTCACTGCTGCCCTAGGGAGGCTGAGGCAGGCGGGTCTCCCCAAGCTCGAGGGCAGGCGGGGCTGCGTGCTGAGCTCAGAGCCTGTCCTGAAAAACCGAAATGGAAACGGGCACAGCACAGGGAGCTCAGACCCGGGAGCGCTTGGAAGGCGACACCCGGCCGCGGGGAGTGGGCTGCTGCTCCCCCCGTAGAGGCCGGCAGCAGGCAGAGGCCATGGCGGGCGCGGGGGGGGGTCTGGCTGGCCGGTCGGCTCCGAGGGCAGGTGCCAGGTGGAGGCCCCGCCAGAAGGGGGGCACGGAGGCCGCAGAGCGGGCGCACCGCGTGGGGGGCTGCCGAGGGCGGGCGGGCGGGAGCCTGGAGGCGCCCCAGAGGCCCGGGACGCTGTCCTGCCCTGTGCACGGGGCTGCCGGCGTGGGACGGGCAGCTCCGTAGATGACGGCTACGGGGATGGGGGATGACTGATAGATGACAGATGACACAGATGGGACGGAGAGACGGGCGATAGATTACAGAGACACATAATCTCTACAGATTATAGAGACAGGTGACAGAAAGATACGTAGACGATAGATTATAGACATACACAGCAGATGGGATACAACAGGAGAGATCATCCACACGCGCACACACACGCGCACACACACACGCACGCGCACACGCACACGAACACGCACACGAACACGCACACGCACACACAGGAAAGCAGGACGGCAGGCGGCGCTCACCCGCAGCCACAAAGCCACCCGAAACCCCCGTCTCTGTGCGTCTCTCTCTGTGTCTCTGCATCTCTGTCTCTGTCTCTCTCTGCATCTCTCTCGCTGTCTCTGTGTCTCTGTCTGTCTCTGTGTCTCTGTCTCTGTCTCTCTGCATCTCTCGCTGTCTCTGTCTCTCTGTCTCTCTGCATCTCGCTGTCTCTGTCTGTCTCTGTCTCTGTCTGTCTCTATCTCTGTCTCTGTCTGCATCTCTCTCGCTGTCTCTCTCTGTCTCTCTCGGTCTCTCTGTCTCTGTGTCTCTCTCTGTGTCTCTGTCTCTGTGTCTCTGCATCTCTCTCGCTGTCTCTGTCTCTCTCTGTCTCTCTGTCCCTGTCTGTCTCTGTCTCTCTGCATCTCTTGCTGTCTCTGTCTCTCTCTGTCTCTCTGTCTCTGTCTCTGTCTGCATCTCTCTCGCTGTCTCTGTGTCTCTGTCTCTGTCTCTCTGCATCTCTCGCTGTCTCTGTCTCTGTCTCTCTGCATCTCGCTGTCTCTGTCTCTCTCTGTCTCTCTGTCTCTGTCTCTGTCTGCATCTCTCTCGCTGTCTCTGTGTCTCTGTCTCTGTCTCTCTGCATCTCGCTGTCTCTGTCTCTGTCTCTCTGCATCTCGCTGTCTCTGTCTCTCTGTCTCTCTGCATCTCTCTGTCTCTGTCTGTGTCTCTCTCTCTGTCTCTCCCTCTCCCCCCCCCGCCCCCCCTGCACCTGGGGGACACCCGGGCGCCCTCCGAGCCGAGCGTGAGGATTTCTCCCTCGCGATGCCCGCCCAGCCCCGGCTCAC